GGTAGTGTTTTTCCCCGTAAATAATTTTTGAAACGACCCTCTGTAGTTGTAAAAGGTCATAGTTCCTTTAGTTCTATAGATATTTCAGTAATTCATTGAGAAAATTAGGACTCGTAATGAGATAATTTATTCACATTATATGTCCTTTGGTACGCGTCACAACTGAGGCGTAGTCGTCATTCGTGCGAAATCTGTAGCAGTTGACTGATTTCAAAATATCGGTGTATTTCTGCCTGAAGTATAATTGTCGTGGTATATGGAATTAAGAACAAGTATCACTGTACGTTCTGATGTAACAAAGGGGTTGGGTTGTTTTTCATGTACGCTGTTTCACCGCAGAACTTCCAAGTTCATCCATTCTCTACTTGCTGAGGTTCCCTATGGGTTCAGGGGAGTAGCAGCTGTTACGAGTCGAGACAGCTGAATAATTTGGATCGGTACAGAAGTGATGGCACATTCTTTGAACCATAATGTAGTTCCGTAATGCGTGTATCCACATCCGTTTTATTTTTAGCCGGCGCAAAAATAACAAGACGCGCAGGACTATGTTGATTAATTAGTTTGTCTGAGTCTGCAAGCCGACATTAGTTTGTAATGAGGTCCAAGTATTCTACATATATAATAAATTAAGTAGTTAATAATTGGATAATTCTCTCCTTGTTTTAGGTCGAGTATAAATCGCCACATGGAATTTGCGGAATCGGGGGACAGTACATGACACCGTCGTCGTTTGGCGGGGGCTCAAACTCAGGAGCGGCGGCAGTGGCTGCCGTTCGTTATCGCAAACTGCCTCAGAGTTCCCAGTCGCAGCAGCGTTGCCAGGTGTGCGGTTATCGTCTTTCGATTGCGACCACTTTCCAGTGCCGCTGTGGTAAAACGCTATGTCTGAAGCACAAAAGTGCTCAGAGCCACCCATGCTTCGAGTACCGGTCAACAGCCGCCGCCGTCGAACCTCGACCCTGTCATTTTCACGCAGCAGCGCGGGCCGCTGCGGCCAGCACCAGCGACTCGGAGTTGCTGAGTAGCTTCATTATGTGACTGGGGAGGATCACTGAGTCGTACCATACATATGTTCAGTTTTGCTACCCCACCGTATGCAGCTGTGCTTGACAAACGTTCTTTATCCATAGTCTGTTTGTGATCTCACATGCAAATTTACCCGTCATTGTAATATCTGTTGGTAATTGTTTGTAATTCTGACTTGGAAGTAATCAGTTATTTGAATTATTGATGTTGCATTGGAAAAACTAAGTTTTACTGTTTCCAGAACTTTCTGTCTTAGACGACCAAAAGAAATGAGCGTACCGCAGAGCCAGTACCAAAAAATGAAATAGTAAAACAGTTACAAAGAACGTAGTAGGAATTCAGAGCTGTTAAAATCAGAAATAAGATTTATTTCGCCTCAAACAAAAAATCTTTAACTAACAGATATGTGTATCTCTGAGAGCATGGACCGAAGAGATTATAGAATTCCACCGCACTTTCATCACTTCGTATATGCCACGGCTTTTTAGACAGAATGCTTCTAAAC